TTTTTTTTTTTTTGAGATGGTCTAGGTCCCAGCTGGCCTAGAACTTGTACCACCACCACACTGGGCTTTAACCTTCGAATCTTTGTGCAGTTTATTGATTTTTAAAATTGATAGTGCTCTGCAAAACAACTGTTTAGAGACAAAAAAAAAAGAGACTGTTTATCTTTTTAAAGACAGAAAGCATAAGGGGCTGAAGAGATGGCTCATTGGTTAAGAGCACTGGCTGCTCTTGCAGAGGACCTGGGTTTGATTCCCAGCACCCACATGGCGGCTACAAACCATCCTTAACGGATGCACTCACATACATACGTACAATACGCTCATACACATAAAATAAAAATAAAGTATTAAAAAAAAATAAAAAGAAACAGAAAACACAAAACCAATAAATGCCTGTAGTGAGAACCTTAAAATACGGGGCGGGAGAGATGGCTCAGCGGTTAAGAACACTGGTTGTTCTTGCAGAAGACCTGGGTTCAAATCCCAGCACCCACACTGGTAGCTAACAACTGTCCATAACTCCAGTTCTAGGGGATCCGACAGCCTCTTCTGACCTCCGTGGGCATTGCAACCGACATAGGCGCACTTACCTACCTGCAGGCAATACACGCATACACATAAAAGTTGAAAAAAAAAACAAAAACAAAAACAAAAAGCAGAACCTTAAAATACAAGGGCCCAGAAACTCGAAACTGACCTGAAAGGCTGAATCCTACACTAGCAAGGCATAAAGCCAACACAACCTGACTGGAAGTGGCAGAAACTTGGGTTAGAAATAGAATTAAGAACTTAAGCAGGAAGACCTCCAGCTTCACACTGAACTTATATAGCAGGACAGCTGTCTTGACCAAAGGCTGTCACTGTTTTCTCTGGTAAGGAAAGTAAAATCTTCCCAACTAGGGATACCAGTCATAGTGGAGGCAGAAGGCCATTTTTGAAATGGGGCTATAAATTCTTTCTTGGTTGGTGCTAAGATCCCAGGCTCTTCCATTCACAGGGTTACTGATCCAAAGAGCCAGGAACCTTGCAGAAGTCTGTAGAAGACATTTTTCTGCAGAAATTGCAGAGACCTAAAGAAGGTGTTGGGATGGTCTAAGTAGACAGTCCTGCCAGAGGCCTCTGCAATGAATGTTGTGTAAAAACAACCAGTGCTCCTAACCGCTGAGCCATCTCTCCACCCCTATAATTTAAAACTTTTCAAAAAAAAAGGGGGGGGGTAAAGACTACACAGTTCTAGGGGATCCGATAGCCTCTTCTGGCCTCTGAAGGTACTGTACACACACAGGTGCACATACAGGCAAAACATTCATACACATAAAAATAAACTGAAAACTAGATAGTGGAATATAACACCACACAAATAAGCATTTACTTGTACAATTGAAAATGAGCCCCCCATCCCAGTCTTTGATGCCCTAATGATGAACATTATTTATTAAAGCAAAGCCTCTAGCAGTCACTTCCTTGTTATTCTAAGATAATAAATTTAATTAATGAATGAATTCATTCATTTTTGGTTTTTGGAGACAGGGTCTCTGTAGCCCCGCTGGCCTGGAACTCACTATGTAGACCAGGCTGACCTCAAACTCACAGAGATCTGCCTGCCTCTGCTTCCTGAATGCTGGGATTAAAAGCATGTATCACCATACCCAGGCTAGGTAACAGAATTTGAAACTAGAAGAGGTCTTAAAAATTGGTCCTTGGGGCAGGCAATGGCTCAGTGGTTAAAAATACTTGCTATTCTTCCAGAGGGCCTGGGTTCAATTCCCAGCACCTACATGGTAGCTAGCAACTATTTGTAACTACAGTTCCAGGGGATCAACGCCCTCTTTTGGCCTTGGAAGGGCACTGTATGACACAGGTACACTTACACACATGCAAGCAACACACTCATACACATAAAATAAAAATAATAAAATACTTTTAAAAATGGTCCTTGTTGAGTGCTTAGTCCTAAATGGGACATCTCTAGCAACACACTCCCTCAGGCTCACAGAACATAGCAGGTAGAAGGATGGGAAACAGTGCTAAGAAAAGCTGTCTTGATGTGACATGGTCATCACACTCCTAAATTATCAGCAGCATGGTTACCCGCACAAGATTAAGCCAGACAATATATTCAACAGATAGGGAGGGGTTCAAGAGTAAAAAGCTATTGCCAATTTTTCTTCCTGGTTGTGGATGCTGTAAGTTCTCCTGCTCATGCAGGCAGCACTAATTAAAAAAAAAAAAAAAAAAAAAAAAAAAAAAGACATGAAGGTGGGAGGAGGGCATGTTGGGAGGGAGATGAGGATCAGGGAAGTTGAGGGTAGATATGTATGTATGAAATTATCAAATGATTTTTTTAAAAAAAGCATGCTCTCTGCCTAAGACTCTAAAATAATTTCCAGTTGGGAAACACAAATGGAGAATCTAACATATAAGATCAGAAATCACCCCAGTGGTGATCCTGTCCATGTCAGAGTGTCTGGGATGGGCTGAGTACAGGTCACAAAGCTCCTGTTACAGTCCTAGGCAAGCCCTCTGCCATTCCAGGAATTGGTGATAGGTATACCAAGATCTCAGCCTTTTGCTGGATGTACCCCACTAGCTGTAAGTCATGCCTCTCCTTTCCCAGTCTTCCTGTCTACAATACTTCATCCTGCTGACTGCAACTGGAAACACTCTTTAATCATCCTTTAAACCCCAGTTCAAAGGACCACCTCCTTTTTTTTTTTCAGGGGTAGGGGTGAGACAAGATCTCATGTAGCCGAGGCTGGCTTCAAACTTACTATGTAGCAGAGGCTGACCTTGAACTCCTGACCTTCCTGAGTGCATACACCACCATGCCTGATTCTGGGTCACTTTTTTTCTTTTGGGGGGTGTGTGTTTAACTATGTAGCCCTGGCGGGCTTGGAACCTGCCATGCAGAACACGCTGGCTTTGAACTCACAGGTATTTGTTTGCCTCTGACTCCCAAGTGCTGACTTTCAAGGCATGAGAACTGCCAGGATATTCTTTATGAAGGCTTTCCAATAGGTAATCACTTCCTATTTCCTATCTTTTGCTTATTTTTAATGGTACTCATCAGATTGTAAAATAAGCTTCCTTTCACAGGTGAATCATCTACACTAGGCTATCAGCTGCTTGAAGAAAGAACTTCTCTGTCCCTGCACTCCCGAATCCATAACAGTTGATGACCACATTTTAAAAAAAAAATTTTTATTTTTATTTTATGTGTATGAGTGTATTGCCTGCATGTATGTGAGTGCACCCGCGTCGTGCAGTGCCACGGAGGCCAGAAGGCTTCAGATTCCCCAGGTTGGTAAAGACGGTTGGTAGCCGCCATGTGGGTGCTGGGAATCGAACCCGGGTCCTCTGCAAGAGCAGTCAGTGCTCTTAACCTCTGAGCCATCTCTCCATTCCTGACGACATTTTTTCACACATGCTTCAGGAAGGCCATCAGACTGAAGTTAGAACATTAGATCAAAACGCCACCAAAAGAAATGTACCTGAAAGTCTACCATTTGGCCATTGAGAAGTCAGCCAACCCACAAGAGAGGCACTGATAAGGATCTGCTGGGGTGTGTGTCCCAGTCATTTCTGGGCTATCTGCCTCTTCCAGGTGCTCCAAAGATGAGAGGAGGCAAGCGTCTAAACAATGAACAGCACATAGCAGAACCAATGCACTATCAACAAAGCTTGACTGCTATCCTTATTTAACTGGCTTTTGAATCCTGTCCCTGAGATTGCAGAAGATATGGCCCATTTTCTCCAGGTTTAAAACTCTTATGATAGGTTAATGGTTATTGTGAATCCATAGGTGAGCATTCACATTTGTAACTAAACACCTTTATGGCTATCTTAAAGCACCGCTTCCAAGTATCCCAGTGTCCAACATCATGAGTTTGGCCTATGTTCACGTGTTCAAGAAACAAGCCGAAGCAATGGCTTCATACAGTATTTTAGGGTTCCACATCTGTATCCATAACGAACATTAAGTTTATTGAGTGTGGCTACTTAGTAGCCTCAAAATCCTGTGACAGTTTCAGAAATGTAGCCTGCTAATAAAGCGAGTATCTTTAAACTGACACCAACAAATATGTGAAGTCATTGCTTGAGGGCTCAAGGTGGCTACAATTCCATAGCCATCTAACAGAGAACTCAAAGCTGAAGGGCAAATCATTGTGTAAATGAAGCTTATCAGGTCTGGAGTGTTTTCCGTTTTTCGTTTGTCTGTAAATGCTTTAATAGGACAATTTCTCCTTAGGTTTATAATTACAAGCTATGCAAACACCACGCCAAATCTGACCGCCTTGTACGTCGGGCAGTACATACAGCAGCTAGTCGAGCACCTGGCTACTTTTCAAAGGGGACGCGCACAAAACACCCCCACGGCAGGACATGTGCACAGCATCCCCTAGGGTCCCGATCACGTTTTCCTCCCTGGCGATACCCAGGGGTTTCCTACGGAGGGGCCAGGCATCAGGGACGTAGGAGATTGCTTCCGACGGCGGCCCAGCCCAGGACCTCCGGGAGGGAAGGTCATCACCGGCAGCCGCAGCTCAGGGCAGCGCCAAGTCCCCAGCCGCAAGTCTCACCTCGCGCCCCAGACCTAGAGGAGCGAGGAACCACGCGGCTCCGCCCTCCCCGCCGGCCGCGGGCTCAGGCCGGCCAGGAAGGCCACGTCCCCCGGGACAAGCTCACGGGGGAGGGGGGGGACCCACGTGATCACGCACAGCCAATCCGGAGCCGTCGGTGGGCCAGCGAGCCGGCTGTGGACGCGGCTAGAGTTGCCCACCGGCAACTCGCTAGCGTCCGTCCAAGCCGGCTCCGTGCTCCTTGTTCGCTACTATCGCCATCTTCCTGGAGGAGAGGGCCGAGCGAAGCCCCCTCCCCGTCCTCGCTCCGCACTCATGTCGTCACCGGGCCGCCTCTTACCCTCATGGGCGACCTCAGTCCTTCCTCAGAAACACCCTTTCCCCCACTCCAGCTTCCCATAAGGCGAAGGGTCTCTTTACCTGTTCCCCTCTTTTATTAGCGCGAGGCAACCAAGCTCATAAGGTGGGAACTGTGGCGAAACAGGGACAAGACGCCATCTTGGTAAAGGAGAAGAGGCTACGCTTGACCTCCCCCCGCCCCCAGCCTCTATATGGCCAACCGCCGTGGGAGGAGCACGGCGCCTGCGCAGACAGGGACGAGCGGCCGCCTCTACGCCTGCGCGCCGTCTCGGGGGTGGGGCCTGCTAGGGCCAGGAAGCCGTTGGCAGGGGGCAGGGCTGCGTAATGACGCAACTGTTCGCGGGCGCCGCGGGGCGGGGCAGGTCTGCGCCCTGGTCGGACCGCGCGTGTTCTCGAGCGTGGTGGTGGGTAAGTGCGCGGCTCTGGGCGACTACTGTCGCGCGGGCTGGAAGCCGAGCCGGACCTCCTGAAGAAGGGTGAGGGCTTCCACACCTCTGACCCCTCCGTCTGTAGCCGCGGGTTCGGAGGGGCGCACGTGGGGGAGGGGCGCACGTGGGGGAGGGGCGGCCGCGCCCTGTGTGCGGCCGGATCGGGTTCCGGGAGGCCCGGCCAGCGGTCTTCGAACGGGCCACGGCAGCCTGAGTCTCGACCAGCGCGTCGGTGCGGGCGTGGATGGATCCGGAGAGAGAATCCCTCGAGGTGCAGAACCCAGGCCGTGGGGCGTCAGGTTCACGCCGGCGCTGGCGGGGAACCCGCTGACCCCTTTGCGGAGCACTGCAGTGTGCGGTCTTCTCCCTTAACGGGGCCATTCCGCCCTGGAGATGTGAACCAGCCACTCTGGGGCCTTCACAAAGTTCCCCGGCCGGGCACGGTGTGGTTGAGCGTGGGGAGGAAGGACCTGTCCAGTCTGTGGCGGCCTTTCCTCTAGACAAAGGGCTGCAACAGTGTAAGATCCAGGACCGGGAGAGGGGGTGCCTAGTGGAGGTCCCTGCGGACGTCGAGCCGGGACGCGGGGCCTCCCTGACCTCCGCTTAACCCTTACGTCTCTTCCGGCCGGTTCTGGGTGTCCATCCTCACCCCACCCCCACTTGGAGGCCGGATCGTAAGGCATCTGAACCTCTGTGGTCTCTTTCCCTGGCCTGCCCTCAACTCCTTCCTCTCGCCTGGAGCTCAGTTACCTCCCACATTCTGTCTTCCGCTTATCTGGTGCTTGGTTCCTGTACCCTGCTTGTTATTCGGGACTCTAATCGGGTAAGATTTTCTCCAAAACAGATAAGGTTCACTTGTTGCTCTATGTGATGGTACCCAATGCCTAGCCAGGGACTCAAGTATTTCCTTTAGTAGGTGAAATCATTTTAGCACCTTAGATATATTTCTAAAGAAGCAAAAATAGGGTATTGTTGAGGTCATGAAAGTTGTTTTATGATGCTGTAATTCTAGACTTCGCTCTTCAGTGGCTTCTCTTTTTTTGGTAGTTCTCATTCAGGGATCTTTTGCGGTACTCCGCTTTTAAACTGGCGTTGTGAACTGTTAGTTATGATTTTGGTAAAGATTTTCGTAGTTGTAAATGTCCTGATAATCTCAACTTTTACAGTTTGAAATTTTTTCTCAGCACCACAGCTTAGTAAAGCTTAATTTTAAATGAGATCAAATTCTCATTCCCAGATAACCAGGGAAGGGGGCAGGGCCTCTCATCAGCTCTGGGAGATTATGGGATGCTGCCCCAGCCCCTTTAAGAGTGTTCACATACATGCAGGCAATACACTCAAACACATAAAATAAAAATAAATGTATATAATTTTTAAGTGTTCTATTGCATACACACATGTGCTGTCCACAAATCTAAATCTAAATGCCAAGACCGCCCAGGTACTTTGGATAAAAGATTGTCAGGATCACACATTGAAAAGACATTGAGGATTAGAGATAATACATGGAAACAACTTTATGAACATGAATGATGGTTTCTATTTGAGTATTCCAGGACTTTAATTGCCACTAGCAAAATAAGTTTATAATGTCAAAATTAGTTTTATCTATCTGTTCATCTTTTGTTTTATATTTTATTTACGATAAGAGCTTTGCTCTGGAAAAAGGAAGCTATGGGTCAGGAATAAAGAACTTACAGATAACTTCTGACTGAAATACACAGAGTAATAGAATACATTTTTAGTTCTACCATATTTCTTAGATGTGGGCAATCTAATTGATCTGCACTTGAGGTTTAAATTACTCTCTGCTTGGCAGCAAGCTGCTGGATTAAGGTTTTCTTGCTAAAAACCAGGTGCTTCTGAAATTCATTATTCCCCTCTCTGCTTTCATTTTGTGGGGCTGGGAATATAGCTCAGTGCGTAGAATGCTTGCAATGTATGTGTAAATCCTGGGTCCCTAGCACACACCCACACACAAAGCCAAAAAACATTTTTAGAAAACCATTGTACATCCAAATTATGTTGGGGGGAGGGAACCCCCAAAACATGAAACAAATGGAAAGAGAATAGTAAAATGAAAGCAGAGCTGAATGACTTAAGAATCATAGCCTAAAGCTGGGGGAGATACTTGGTAGGTCAAGTGCTGGTCCTGAAAACGTGAAGACTGGAGTTTGATCCCCAGAACGCACATTAAAAGGAAAAGGCTGAATGGGGTGGCCTGGGCTTGTAGTCCCCATTCTGGAGAGGCAGAGGCAAGCAGCAAGTCCATCCTGCCCACCGCTCCCCACACAGGTCAATTAGAAACTGTATCTCAAGGTAGACCTCAGGCCTCCATACAAAGAATTCATAGTCTGGTATTCTCTATTTTTCTTGTATCAGGATAGCTCTTGAGAGAAAACTTGATAGTGCAAATCACCCTGCTTTGGTCAGAACCAACCCAGGTCCTCAAAATAGCCAGAGTGGCCAAGGGTCTGGGGTCAGGTCATTAAGGTGTTACAGAAGTGTAGAAAAGGTACTACTGGGCTGGAGAGATTGCTCAGTGGTTAGAACACTGACTGTTCTAGCAGAAGACCCGGGTTCGCATCCCAGTACCCATATGGCAGCTAACAACTGTTGGTAACTCTAGTTCCAGGGGATCTGACAGCCTCTTTTGTCTTCCATGGGCATTGCATGGCACAGGTGCACTTACTACATGCACGCAATACATGCATACACATAAAAATAATAAATTTTTAAAAAAGAAAAGGTACTAACATTCCTATGTCTTTTTTTGATTATTAATTTTTTTATGTGTATGCGTATATTGCCTGCTTGTATGTCAAGTACACCCATGTCTTGCAGTGCCCTCAGAGGTCAGAAGAGGAGGTCAGAAGAGGACGTCGGATCCCCTCAAACTGTAGTTACGGAAGGATAGCTGTTAGCCACCATGTGGGTACTGGGAATTGAACCCGGGTCCTCTGCAAGAACAGCCAGTGTTCTTAACCGCTGAGCCATCTCCAACCCCACATTCTTGTCTTACTGTGTTGGTATAAAATCCTGTTAATAGTAGTGAAGGCACTCTTCACTGCCCTCAGGCGTTTTCCCTCCATATAAACAAAGGTTCTTTTACTCATTACTTTAAGAAACATACCATTAGGGATTCCAGTTTGGAATTTGGCTAATTATACTAATTTGGGGAAACAAAAATGACTTGATTCATGTAGTGCCTGTTTTCTCTACTTGAAAATCTGTTCCTAGCCAAGTGTATAATTCCAGTACTTGGGAGGAGGTGGAGGCAGGCAGACCTCTGAGATCATGGCCAGCCTGATCTACATGGTGAGTTCCAGGCCAGCTGGGACAAAAGGGTACTATTTCAAAAAAGACCCCCCTGAAAAAGACATTTTCTCAAAACAACAAAGAACCCAAAATCTGTTCTTGTGTGTTTGAGTGTTTTGTCTTGTGTTTTTCATTTTTATTTTTGTAGCCCAGCCTGTTCTAGAACTTACTGTATAGTCCAAGCTGGCCTCAAACTAGTAATATTCCTACCTTAATTTCCAGTCTACATCCGGCTTGATTTTACTTTTTTTTATTCTGGTGGAGTATTTCCTCCCTATTTCCAATCCTAAATATTTACTAGTAGTATAGAAAGAAATTTTCAGTGTTGGAATGTAACATAGTGGTAGAGCACTTGCCTAACATGCATGAAACCAGGTGTTCATTTCCTAGTACCATACACAGACCAAATTCAGAAACTTAGATTTTTGAGACATGGTCTCTGTATGTAGTCCAGGCTGCCATTCTCTTGTTCCAACCTCCTGAGTGCTAAAATTATAGTACACCACTGTAGCACCACAGAAACTTTGGCTTAGCTTTTTCTAGACACCTTAACTAATGGCCTTGTTCTAAAATTCCTTTCTAGTTTGCTTTTTGGAGCTTGAGTCTCACTGTGCTACCCAGGCCTGGAACGCCTGTGCCAAGTGGTAGTTTCCCTTCAGCCTTCTGGGTAGCTGGGATTGAAGGCTTGTGGTACTTATTTTGGCTTAATGTTTAATTTTTTGTTTGTTTTTAATGCAAGTATTTGTGTTTTCTGTGTATTCAGTCCTATCCAAAAAAAAAGTTTCGTGTTTTTACTTGATGCACTAAGCTTACTTGGGTAGTATTAAATGATCATGGTAAAATTGGAATGTCTCTTATTTGCATCCTGTTACTAATGAAAAAAATGAGGCAGTTGAGTATTTGGTTAAATTAAAGGACTATAATTTTATTTCCCTAGATATGATAACTTGCCACTTTTAAAAGCCCATAAATGTTCTATTTAGTTTTCGCTTTATAATAAAACAGGGTAGACATGAACTTGTATTTGCCTTGAGTTGCTAATTCTTGAATCTGAATAAAAGGTAGTACCTAGGGATTTTATTACAATTCTTCTGTGTGTACTTGAAATTTTCATAAGTTCATTTAAAAATAATTATGACAGTACTGGGCATTCTTGCTTCATTATTATAATTTAAGCAGGTTTAGTAGCCCATTGTTTAAGGAGTAGCATTTGCCATTGTTTTTTTGACAGCAACCCTGAATTATATTTAAGCAGTTCCTTTAGTGTTTTTTATGAGGATTGATTGCTGAATTTAATTATAAACCTAATCATCCATTTATGCATGGTTTCTCTTAATTCATTTTAATGACTTACAATGATAGATACTTTTGTGGTGTTTTGTTTGTTTGCTTGCTTGCTTGCTTGCTTGTTTTTTGAGGCAGTCTCCCTGTAGCCCCAGCTGCTGTTGGTCTGGAACTTGCTATGTAGATAAGGGTGGGCTTGAAAGATATTTTTGATACATTTCTGGGATCTAATTGCTGACAACGTAAAAGTTTTGTATTTATGTTCCTGTGTGAGATTGATTTGTTATATTGGCCATCGTTCTTTTCCTCACTTCAGGGCCCGCCCTCCTTTCTTCCTTTCTCCCAGTATTTGTTATTAAAAGTGTGCTGACTTTATAAATAAATTGGAGTACTTTCTCTATAGTGACTTGAATAGTTATAAATGACACTGTCCTTATCTGTGGATTGCATGGTTTGTTGCTGTAATTCATCTGGTCTTGGTCCTTTTACATTGCTGGGGTTTTTGTGTTTGCTGTTTGGCTTGTTTTCCTCATTGCTGAGTGGGTTGGTTGGTTGGATTTTCTGTCAGTTTGATTTGAGATAGAGTCTCCCTGTAGGACCCACTGGACAGCTGGGGCTACAGGGAGACCCTGTCTCAAAACGACACCCCCCCAAAAAAAAATTTCACATTAATTCATTTATTTGTATGAGTATGTATGTATGTGTGTCAAATGTATGTGGCTCAGAGACCACTTATGTGAGTCGATTTTTTTTTCCCCCTGCTGTGTGCTGTATGGTCCTGGAGATTAATCTCAGGCTGCATCTTCTAGTCTATGATTGTGCCTTTTCTATCTGCTCTCATTTCCTTAATAAGACTTGTAAGAAATTTGCTTAGAAGATTCAGCTTTTAAATTTATCCTGTTTTTCATATAATGTTCACTCTTTTTATTTTGTTCTGGTTTCTGGATTTTTAAAAATTTATTTATTTATTTTTGGTCGTTTTGAGACAGGGTCTTCCCCGCCGGCCTGGAATTCCTATGTAGACCAGACTGGTCTGGAACTCACAGAGATCTGCCAGCTTCTGCCTCCCAAGTGCTGGGATCAAAGGTGTGCACCACCACACCCAGCTGTTTCTGGATATTTTTAAGAACTAAATTTCTTTATTTTTCTTGTAATTGACAAAAATATGTTTGCGCTATAAACATGGACATCTGCATCTTATCTCCCTCACTTCCTAGAGACAGCTGTGGTTTTGCTTTTGGACCTTCCTTAAAGAGTTGTTCAAGAATGTTCCAACTTACTGAGAGTTGTTTTTTGTTTTTCTTTACACCCTTAGTTTCAACAGATTTTGTGTTAAGATTGTGAATTATAAAAAATGATCGTGGGCCTAGATTTCTTTTGAAAAAGTCACGCTTTACTTATACTTTTTAAGATGTTGGTTTCGTGATTTTATCCGTTCCCTAGTCCATGAAGCTTATTTATTGGTTCTATTACTTTCTCTGCCTTGCTCACATTGTGGTTGCTTAGTCTGTCCAATTCTATGACAAGCCTATTAATGTTTCCTCATTTGAGTTGTATTTTTATTAAGTTAATTTAGTATTTTTGTCTTCGCTTTTATGTTTTTGTCTGAAGTTAAGTCTTGGGACAAGACTGTGTCATAGCTTCTTTTGCAAATTGTTCTTTTTATGATTATCAGTTAATGCTCTTCTGTTTCTCTTTTTAACCTTAAATTCTGCTTGGCTGATACTAACAGTGTTGCTTTGCCTCTTTTGGCACTGGCCTGGTGTCTCTTCCCTTGCCCCTTAATTTTCAGTCTTTTTATACCTCCCCCGACACGCCTTCCTATATTCTGTGTGACAGAATTATGCTGGTCTGGTCTATTTGTTTTAACCCAGTCTGTCTTTTAAGGAGGCAATTTTTCTTTTCACATTTCTAATCTGGAATTTCATCCCTATTGTTTTGATTTAGGGTTCTTGTTGACTTTGTGTTTGTTTTTTTTAATAGTTTTTAAAATTATTTCTGTTTTATGTGTATAAGTGTATTGACTGCATGTATGTGAGTGCAGTCGTGTCGTGCAATGCCTTGGAGGTCAGAAGAGGGCTTCGGATTCCCCTGGAACTGGAGTTAAGGATGGTTCTTAGGAATTCTTGGGACTTGAACCCAGGTCATTCTCAAGAGCAGTCAGTGCTCTTAAGCGCTGAGCCATCTCTCCAGCCCCATTACTATTCTTTCTTTTTTTTTTTTTTTTTTTTTTTTTTTTGGGAAAGGGCCTCCCTGTAGCCCCAGCTGTCCTGGAACCCCCTGTGTAGATCAGGCTGGCCTTGAGCTCACAGAGATCCACCTGCTTCTGCCTCCCAAGTGCTGGGCCTAAAGGCGTGCACCACCACACCTGGCTACTATTATTTCTTAAATGAGATTATGCCTTAATTACCCAGGGCTGGCCTGGAGTTCAAGATCCCCCCCCCCATGCTGGGGTTAACAAATATGGACCATGACATACAGCTTTTTCTTAATTTGGAAATTCTACTTTTTTTTTTTTTTCATTAGTGGTTACCTTTCTTTTTGCTTATTTTTTTTATTTTTGAGACAGGGTCTCCCTGTAGCCCCAGCTGGCCTGGAACTCTCTTTGTAGACTGGGCTGGCTTTAAACTCACAGAGGCCTGCCTCAGCCTCCCTGAGTGCAGGGATTAAAAGCATGCGCCACCATGCCTGGCTAGTGGTTACCTATTATTTCATAGTATGCTTCATATCTCTATTTTTTTAAATCAGGGTGTAGCTTCTGCCAAGCTGATATATCCCATCTGACCCCTCTTTCCTCCGCCTTTAGAAAGTTTTATTTACCTGCTTTCACTCTACCCACAACTTTCCAGTTTGCTGAGGTAGTTTAATATTTTTATTTGTCTATTCATAGCATTTTCCAAGGATGGCCTTTCTATCCAAGAGACCTTAATTCACTCTTCTATTACATAGTCCCAGATATCTGGTTAATTGTTAGGAAAATTTTGTTATTTTTTTTTCTTTACCTCCATATGCTCCTTTTTTCCCCCTTGGAAAATTCTTTTAAGCTAGATTTCCTTGGTTTTCCTATAGTCAGGCTTCTATAGGCCACTAATAAAGGAGAACCAAGACTAACCTAGGTTTGCCGTGACTCCAGTACTGTAAAGCTAAAGCCCATGAATTCTTTGGCACTCTGACCTTGGCTAACCAGGCCAAATACAGTGAGGGGCAGGGTCCTCAATTTCATCTCAGCTGTTTGGGAACATTTTCATTCAAAAGAGAAACATGGGGTGTGCAATGTTCAGGAATGCTAATGTTTGCGGTGGGGGGTGCGGGGGTCAAAGAAACATTTTGTTAAATTTTTTAGCTCCAAAGGAAATCAAATTTGGCTAGAGTCCTATCTTTTGACCTTGTTATTGATGATAAGTTTACATATACTCCTTGTTTCTCAAAGCTTCAAGGTTCAATTAGGACATTGTCTTTTCCTTTTACTGATGTAATAATCAGTATTGAAAGAAAAAAATACAAATATATTCAATTTGGAAGTGTATATACAGTAGCATTAATCAAGTTCTCTAATTTTATCATTGGTAGTAATGATTATTACATTATTTCTAGAGCAGTGCTTGAAGCTGTTGAGAAGCTAAGTAAAACAAGCTGTGGATGTCAATGTCGTTTAACTGTAGAACTGTTAAATATGTGTGTGTACATCTGTGTTTTGTTTTTTTTTTTAAACACAGAAACAGAAACAAACAAGGAAGATGTCTAAGGTAAGGTCATTCTTCATCTGTGGTATAAAGAGAAACTGCTGTATGTTTTCAGACAGTTTCTGTAATTGATTCATTAAGATAGAGTTCCAGTTTCAAGTTACCATTCTAAAAGTTTTGAGCTTCCTCCCTTTCCAGGTTTCTTTTATCTAACATAGCAGTGTGAATCCTTTTAGCTTTTTTAGATTATTTGCAGCAGAGCAATCAAATAATAATTCATAATTCCAAAAATTTATATAATTAAATTGATGTGGCTCTTAGAAGACTTGATAACTGTTTGAGTCAGCTCTTGTAAATTGGCCCAAAGCCCTGAGAGAAATTAGTTTATTCTTTAGTCAGAAGCTGAGAAAAGTAGAACTTGTGGTTAAAACTGCAAGGTCTCATTTTTCTTTGCTATTTATTTATGTTAAAAACTTTTTTAAAGTCAGGATCTGTGTAGCTCTGACTGGCCTGGAATTCGCCATGTAGACCAGACTGGTCTCAAATCTGTCTGCCTCTGCCTCCTGAGTGCTGGGATTAAAAGTGTCTACCACCACACATGGCCTTACCTTTTATTTTTGAGTCTGTGAGTATTCATCACTATCCAATGAAAAATCCTTATCACAGCTTTTTGTTTTTTATACAAGTAACGTGGAACATAGATAAACAAAAAAACCATTATTCTACCACCCAGAAATAATCATTATAAAGATTTTTATATGTATATTTTTTACTCTGTGTACATGTGAATGGACAATAACAAGACCCTAAAAGAAAAGCTATTTTATAATTTGCCTTTTTAAGTTAAATCAAGGTAATGAATTTAAATTTTGTCCTTGTCATTTTCAGTTTACTCCTTTCCTAGATTGTAGGGTTTTTAGTTTGTGTATCTGTATGTGCACATGCACTTACATGTAGGAGCTAGAGATCAACCTCAGGTGTCACTCTGCAAACACTGTCTGCCTTGTTTTTCGTGAAACAGGTCTCTCACTGGCTCGGAGCTTCTTGAGTAGGCCGGCTGACCAGGGAGCCACTGTCTCTACCTCCCCAGGGTTGGCATTACAGATGCATGCCTCACTATGCCCTACGTGGGGTTTTAGGGATTGAAGTCATGAAGTCAGGTCTTTGGGCTTGTGAGGAAGGCCTCAATTGTAGTTTTACTGGTTTAAGTTGTTTTTTTTTTTTTTGAGACAGGGTCTCCCTATAGTCAAAGCTGGCCAGTATTCGTTGTGGAGACCAAGCTGGCCTCAAACTCAGAGATCCACCTGCCTCTGGCTCCCAAGTGCTGGGATTAAAAGCATGTGCCCCCATGCCCAGCTAATTTTACTGTTCTTGATTATCACACTTCCATCTGCCTTCACACTTAACCAAGAACTCTTTCTTTAAGAAATATTGACATGATGGGGCCTGGAGAGATGGCTCAGGGGTTAAGAGCACTTGCTGTTCTTCCAGAGAACCCAGGTTTGGCTCCCAGCATCCACATGGCAACTCTGTCGCCCTTCCAGCCTTCCCAGGCATTATACACATACCAATATACATATTAGCAATTAAAACGCACAAATAAAAGTAAATAAATCTTTTTTTTTTTTTTTTTTTTTTTTTTTTTTTTTTACAAACTTTTAATTCCAGCACTCAGGCAGAGGCAGACAGATCTCTGAGAGGTGAAGGCCAGCCTGTTTTAACGGTTTAACTAGCGAAAGGCCTGTGCTACCATGCCTGGCTTAAATAAATCATTTTTAAAAAGAAAGAAATGTTGATGTGTGCTAGGCATGGCGGCAGACACCTATGATCCCAGCACTTCTAAGGCTACGCAGGAAGATTGTTATTTCTAGGCCAGCCTAGAATATATAATGAGCCTGTCTCAATAAGTGAATAGATAGATAGATGGATAAATGGATAGGTAGGTAGGTAGGTAGGTAGGTAGGTGGATGGATGGGTGGATGGGTGGATGGATGTATGCATGCTTCAATGTAGTTGGCTGTAATCTCAGTTTTTTCATTAGTTTTTGAAGCTGGATTCTCAACATCTCACCCCCAGATTGCTTGTCTTTCTCTAAGTAAAGCTCTGTGCCATAGAGAAAGGATAGCAGGAGATGCCTTTTTCCTAGATCCTTTTTATAGACCCATCATGCCTGATATCTGGATGGAGGCTATTCTTTAGCTAAGTGTTGAATAAAAGCATTCAGTTTCCAGTAATTCTGTTTATCTGAAGCCAGAATTTCAAATTGTGTTAAGATGAACTAAACCTGTGTCTTTTACATAGTTAAATTGCTATCAGTATGGAGCTAAGGAACTGAACTGTTTTCTCTCTTAATCCTTTTTTATAAAAATATTATTTTTATTTTTTATGTGTACGAGTGTATTCCCTGTATATAAGTGCACCTGTGTTGTGCAGTGCCTGTGGAGGTCAGAAGAGGGTGTCAAATCCCCTAGAATTGGAGTTGCAGACAGTTGTTAGCCACCATGGGTGCTAGGAATCGAACCTGGGTCCTCTGCAAGAGCAGCCAGTGCTCTTAACCGCTTAGCCATCTCTTTTAGGCCCCCTCTATTAATCCTTTTAAGTGAATCCTCTGTTTTCTGATAGATTTATGAGTTTTTGAAAGTAATGATTTGTGTGGAGTTTCTTTGTTGATTTTTTTTTTTTTTTTAATTTCTGAGAACGGATTACCTATGTTTATCATAGGTCTGATAATGTCTTAAAAGCAGCCAATAGGTGTTTATTAGAACTTTCTTTTTTTTAATCTTATTTTAGCAACAACCAACTCAGTTTATAAATCCAGAAACTCCTGGCTATGTTGGATTTGCAAATCTTCCCAATCAAGTTCACCGAAAGTCAGTGAAAAAAGGGTTCGAATTCACACTGATGGTGGTTGGTAAGAAATCTTTTTTATTTTTTTATTTTTAATTTTTATTTTATGTGTATGTGTGTATTGCCTGAATGTAGGTAAGTACACCCATGTCGTGCAATGCCCACAGAGGTCAGAAGAGGCTGTCAGAGCCCCTGGCACTGGAGTTACAGTTAGTTGTTAGCTGCCATGTGGGTGCTGGGATTCCAACCCAGGTCTTCTGTAAGAATAACCAGTGTTCTTAACCATTAAGCCATCTCTCCAGTCCTAAGAAATCTATCTTAATAAATATTCCCGTTTCCCAACTGTGGGAAATAGTAGCATAACTTGTAAGAAGGAAAATTCCTTCTTTGCAAAATCAGCTTTGGTACTTAAAATATAGTAGTTTATTTGACCAAATTTTCACGCATGCACATATTCAGGGAATTTTGTTCAAGAGTAAAATATGATTTTTGTGTCCTTTCCTCATTCGCATATAGTGAGAGTTTCTTTGTGATAGCTAGTTTTCAGAAACCTTCCAGTAATGATTTCTTCCTGTTGTTTACAACCCTGCTAGGCTTCTTCCACACTGAACAAGTTTTTTAAAAATTTGTGTATACGCATGTATGCATATACAATGTGGGTGGGGGCGCACACATGCCACAGCATACGTGTAGGTCATATGACAACATTTTTTTTGTAGAGTTGGTTCTCCTTCCATCTTTATGTGGGTTCTGGGGATGACTCGGGTCATCATGCTTACCAAGCAAATGCCTTTACCTTACCATTGAGCCAACTCGCTGCCAAAATTCCCCCCTTATTTTAGGGTTTAAGTACAGCCTGTGGATATTGCAGAAATGATGTGACTTTAAGGTATGCTACTGAAAGACACTGGCTCTCTACTTGACTTCTCTTGAGTCACTCACTCATTCTGGAGTCACTCATTCTGGAGGAAGCCAGCCGCCAGGCCTTCATCTGCAAGTCTGCAAGTCAAGGAACTGAGGCCGCCAGTGGCTGTGTAGATGGCATACTTTAGAAGCACCTCCAGCCCACTCAGGCTTCCTGTGTATGATAGCTAGCCCAGTTGACATTGACCATTGTCTCAACACCAAGCTGGAACCATCTTCTTAAGACACTGTCAAATTTTTCATCCCCCAGATCTGTGAGATACTGTTCATGATGGATTTGCAGAATTATTGCCTATTCAAATTGCTAATTTTTTAAAAAGAAATGGCTAATTTACTCATTTAATTATATTTATCTTAAAAATACTAATTCCTTAAAAATAAAGTGAGAGTCCGTTGAAATGGAATGGTTGCTTGAATGTATTTCTGTTACATCAGATGTTATATATTGCTATTGTACATCATAATGTGTTATGGTTGGCATATATTGTGTTTCAGCATCAGAAGCTCAGTGATGATCTGGGGCTTTTGTTTTGTCATTGTTTTCTTCTTTGATATAGATTTTTAAGGCAGGGCAGTCCTGGCTGGCCTCAAACTCAGAGATGTGTCTGCCTCTACTGGGGTTAAAGGCATGTACCACCACAGCAGCTTTAATGATGAACTGTTCATTCTGTTAACTACATCACGTTTTAATTCAGTTTTGGCAATAGCAGAATTCTCAAAGCTAATGAGGTAAGCATTTGAAAAGCCAAATGATCCTGACTAAGACAAATGATTATTTCTTAGGACTATAAGTTCACAGATCTGAAATGAAGGACATTTGGGATTTAAAAAAAAAATTTATGTGTATGAATATATTGCATATATGTAAGTGCACCTGTGTCGTGTAAACCCTCGGAGTCTAGAAGAGGGCCTGTCAGATCCCCTGGAATTATAGTTACAGACAGTTGTTAGCTGCCATGTGGGTACTGGGAATTGAACCTGGGTCCTCTGGAAGAGCAACCAGTGCCCTTTAACTACTGAGCCATCTCTCCCCAACATTTGGTATTATTATTGAAGGTAAGTAGATGCCAACATATTTAAGGAGCACAATTTCATGACAGTAATAAAAACACAAATTTAGGTTCTTAGCTGAAAAGAGAGGACCATTGTACTCTGTCATGTTATTTAATATGTAGCACTCAAAAATAGGCAGTGTCTATTGGCTATGTTATAATTATTTAGAGTCAGTAAGCTCTTTCTATAAAGGGGTCACATAGTAAAGGTCTTTATGGGCCATTACAGTTTGGGCACAATATTCAACTTTATACTTACAGTGGGAAAGCAGCCATAGTCATGACGTAGTCATGTTCCAGTAAAGCTTCATTTACAAGAAAGGCAGCAGGCTGGATTTGAACTGATGCCCAAAGTTCATTAGCCCCTGAAATAAAGGCTAGACTTCCTGCTATGAATAATTAGAAGACAAAATAAATGAAATAGTTCTTTTAAAACACTAGGCCATAGAAAGTGCAAGAATTGGGTACTTTAGAGAAGAAAAACAAATTATATGGATGGATCAAGTTACTGCAGGTTTCTGCCCTTGACCTAGGAGGGGAGAGTGGAATAAATGGAGTAAATCAAGAACACAGAACTGAAGTGAATTGAACCTGGAGTAGTCAGACTTCTCAAAAAGAAAAACAACTCCATAATTATACAATGAGAATCTTTCTGAGATATTGGCTGAACAACACTAATCTATATGAGTTAGGGTATAGATTGCTCAAGCTAGGTAACATGTAACCACCCAAGACAGTGAACTGAACTGGAGACTGCAGAGGCCTAGAAAGCTTGCATATAGTTAGAAACATTTGGATTCCACCCATTCAAATGCAGAACTCTTGTTGAACATTGAAGGTACTTAGTAGAATCTCCAGAGTTCTTAGGAGTGTGGCTTATGTAGACAGTCTGTTGTAATCTCTCCCTGAAAAGCTTATAAACAAACCTGGAGGATCAAGTCACTTAACTACTTGCCAAGACAAAAACATCACTTTATTTTTTTTATTTTATGTGCATGAGTGTGTTGACTGTATGTATGTAAGTGCCTGCAGAGGTCAGAAGAGGGTGTCGGATTCCTTGGAACTGGAGTTACAGATGGCCAGTGCTCTTAATCCCTGAGGCATCTCTCAGCCCCAAGACAAAATCATCACTTTATTAAAGAAAGACATCAGCAGGTATGGTGGTGCATGTCTGTAATTCCAGCGAATGGGAAGCTGGAGAAAGAGGGACCCAAGTTGGAATCCAGCCTGGGCTATGTAATGAGACTTTTGTCTCAGAGAAAGAAAGAGAGAAATCAGAATTCAGCCATTCACAATGTGGTATTCATAGTGTCCAACATCCAGTGTAAAAAAAGAAATTGCTTGATAGCCAAGAAGCAAAAGATACAGAACATAATCAAGAGGATAACCAGGCAATAGAAACAGATCTACAATTAACAACGATAATAGGATTGACAAACGAGGATTTTAAATATACTCCTGTACTTAAAGAAAAACATGATTCTGGTAAGTTTAAGACACAAAGAAGAACCATATTGAATCCTAAGCAATTGAAGCAGCATATGAAATGAAATTTTTTCAGTAGGCCTAGAGCTGAGGATGTGCATGTGCACATGCACTTATATGTATACCCAAGATAGGCCTAAGAGCAAAGTATACACTGTAGAGGAAGAGGAGTAATAGGAGGTTTCCAAACTTAATCACAGAAAAGGAAAGGCTAAAAGAGCGAGTTTAGCATAGTCTCAGCCTGTGAGCAGTCTGATAAACAACAGAGGTTGAGAAAATAATGCCTGAAAATGTTCTACATTATATGATGAAAATTGCTGAATGCACAAATACAGAATTATTAAAGCATGGATTTTCCTAGATTCAAAGAGTCCAAAAGATACTAGTTTAAAAAAAGGAAAAATAACCCTAAGGCCCATTATAAACAGGTTGTCCCAATCTATTGAGAAACAATAGGCAAATGTAAAGAAAACATGACAGGGCACATAATAACCAGATAGGTAAGAAATAGAGGTGAAAAGTAAAACCTGAAAAGTAGCCAGAAGACAAAGAAAGATGGTACAGAGGATCCAGGGTGAAAAATGAGTACTGGCTCATCAGGAAACTAGGAACAGAGAAACCCCTGAGCAAGTGACTTTCTAAAAAATATAACCAAAGATTAAAGGGGCCAATATAATTTTCTTAATTTTTTAACAGTCCATATGTATAGGTAAAGGCTACATGACAAACAACAATGCCAGATAGGAGATAACCTTCTTTTGAGCTGTTGGCCAGGGTGGCCCAGGGGTCTCCCAGATAGTAACCCAGAATAGAACTGGGAAAATGAACAGCAGACCCCAATCTTACCTAAAGGAGTATTGACAATCGATTGCTGCTAGATGAGGAACAGCTGACCTTCCTAAAACAAAGACCTCTAGATAGGCTGACTAGATTCACCAGATGGACAAGTAGTGGTTCCGGCTGGGGTGCTGACAATGCAGCAGACAGTAGCAGGGATATCAGAGTATAAGGGCTCTAGTAGGGGGAGGGAGGCTATGGGAGGGTGCCATCTGGGAAGTGGGTGTATAGTTGAACAAGATGGTTTGGGATGTTCTGTGTGATATACACAAAAAAAACAAATTAAAAACAATTATATTTGAGGAGGAAGCATAAAAATTTACGTCATGTTAATTAGTAGAGGTGATAAACATTACCATTGAAATCTGCCCGATGACTTTATATCCATCAGGTGCCAAGGATCCAAGTGCAACTGATTATGGCTAGTAATAATCAGATGCGTACAGATGAGAGATGCATGTGCCAACATCTCAGTGTTATTAGCAAAAAGTCTTTCTGTAAGAAACAGTGTATTTTAAAATGAAATGATCTTTTTTAAAGGTTTAAAAACTCATTCAATTTTATGTCTTACAGGGCTTATACTGAGTTCAATATTGTATAACTGTATTAATTCAACAGCGAACCTTAAAATTTTATAGCCACTTTTGAAAGAGATGTTGCTTCGCTCTGGAAATTGTTATTGAGTATGTTAAAGCTATAATGAAATGCTTCTTCTAAAAATATTTCAAAAAAATAAATGAATGTTGAATGAAAAAAAAATACTTAG